TTTTAGTTTAATTTATTGGGGAAAGAAAAATATAAATTAACATCCCTAAATAAAAAATATAGTTTAATGTTGAAAATAAATCAATTTCTACCTTATTAAACGGATTAATAATACCAAAATCTACTAGTGTTGTTGTGAGGCATCATCTAATATAAAGAATTCAAATTTGTTTTATATTTTTATTTAGTAGAATTGATTTGTTATTTTATTGCAATTTGGTGTCGTACAAAAAAACAATTAGGTATAAATTTTAATTAAAAGTATACTTATTCAAGAACATCCATTAAAAATAAATGAACACGCAGTCTTTTTAAAGTTGTAGAGGCTTCTGTCTTGAAGTGTTTGATTAAAAACCTGCAAAAATTAGAAAATTTAATCAAAAACACAAAGTAATTTGTATTGTTTTACTTACACCGTTATATACTATCGTTGGAATGAATGATGGACTTATTTCCATCGTTTCCTTTTCGGCTTGAAGTTGAAGATTTTTCCCTTGGTCAGACTTTAAACAATCTTCTACAGCGTGCCATTCTACATCAGCATTTTTGACGCACTTAAATACAACAAATATAAATGCAATTAGGTGTAAAATTCGAAATTATCGATTTACTTGTTTGCTGGCGTCATGTTTTTGTCTTCTAGGTATTCTTCTTGAGGTAAAAATGTCCATGGAACATCTTAAATATTCTACTTTTTTGGTCTTATCGTCAATTTTGTTTAGTGCGCATGACATGATTTTGTTTTTGTAGCATTCGTCGTCGCCATGTTGGCATACGAAGTGGTCGCCATCATCAAAACTCTAAAAAAAAAAGAATTATAAAAATCTTATCGTTTCATGAAGGTTTCTAAAAGTTTTACCATTGCTTTTCCAAATGGTATAAAGGAAATTTCTATATCGTGTTTTGATAGGTCCTTCCATGCTGGGTGAAGCTGATTAATTATAAAATGTCTGCTATCTGGGCATAAAGCTTCAAAAAATATTTTTACATCTACCTGAAATTAGAAATTGACTTAAACCTTTTATTCTAAAGAGATTTCTATCGATATTCACTTTCAAAACGTTGTAAAACAGTATAAAGATTTCGGTTAAAATAAAATACAATAAATGGTATTTTATAACAGAAAGGGGTTAAAAATATTACATTTATTTACACAACGCGTAAATAGTTTTTCGTTTTGTTTAAAATTAATTTAAATATGTCATTTCAAAATAAAAAATATATATTTTAGTCTAATTACACTTGTATAACTTCATTATTCTTATTATTGCCTACAAAAACAGGCTGTTCATTGTTTTTGTGTATCTTTTTAATAAAACTGAAACTAAACAATTAATACTTACTGATTCAACGACAGGAACTGAGTTGTAAAAGCAGTAAATTAATGCTATAATTGAATAAATTGGATTCATTTCTACAATTGTGCGTTGAATTTAAAAGATACGCAGTCTTGTGGCACGTTTTTACTACTAAAATATTTAGCCTAATTTACGCATCCAATGTTACATGATCTACTTACGATTAGACTATTTAATATTTAATTATAATATAATACTGATACAATGAATGGCAACAACTGCAATAAATAATTGTTTAATTTATAATTAAACGACGATGAGACTTTAGTGATAATCATTTCTTGGAATAATTATGTATTGAGTATCATTCGTGTAATGTGTATCATGTTTATTTAACAAAACAAAAACAATAGTTTATCTCGTAATGTGATATTACTGCTCTGATTTAGGTTTATTATAAAAATAACTCATTCAATACAGCAAAACTGAATTGTAAACAAAAAAGTTAAAGAATAATTACTTTACATCGCGAATGCATGAATAAGATTGTAGATTTTAAAATGCAACTAATTATGTATACAAAACCATTTCTTTTCGTTTATATATGTAATAACTGTATTGCAATAAATTATAATGCTTAGTTAAAGCATTTTAAATTTAAAATTTTACCGCCAATTAGTAGTTATGCTACCATACAAACACTCTTGCAAAGCCATTGCATAATCAATTCTGCTGTTTTTGTATAACAGACATAACCTTATCCAATATATAAAATTACTTTTAAATAAGTGTGCCAAAAATTATAAAAAACAGTGTTTAGTTATGTTTTACGATGGAAAGTGAACTTAAAATTAGTCCCCCCAATAGTTTTGACTTTCCATTTCAACCGTATCCTATTCAACATGAGTTTATGGAAAACTTGTTTTCGGTGTTGGAAAACAAAAAATTGGGAATATTTGAGAGTCCTACCGGAACAGTAAGTGCAAGAAGATTTTAACTCAAATTCCCTTCCTAAATTCATTTTTTTATCAATAGGGAAAGTCTCTTAGTATAATATGTGGGGCTTTAAAGTGGCTGCATGATCGTAATAAAACTAATGAAGAACTGCTTAAGTCTGAAATAGAAATATTGGAAAAGAAAAAAGCAGAACTCGAGTCTGAGACTGCAGATTGGCTCACATCAAAATCTGAAGAAATAAATGTTACTAGAAAAATCAATTTATTAAAATTAAAGCATAAAAGTATGGCAGAATATTATCAAAAGTTTGAAGAGTTAAACTCTAAGAAGAAACAAGTTAAACTAAAGAGGCAGTGGAAAAAGACTAGGAATAACGAAAGCGAAAGTGTTGATGGTGTCAACGAATCTTTACAAGAAAATTCAGAGGAAATTGAAGAAGATGCTTTACTTGAAGAGCTTATACCCACTAGTAGAGAAGACTCAGATGATGAGGACCAAAAGGAAGATGTGTATGAACCTATTAAGGTCAGATTGAGGATACCTAATAGTTGCAGATTTATTTTTAAGAAGTTATAATAATTTTAGATACTGATTTGCAGTCGAACTCATTCCCAATTGTCGCAATTAATAGGAGAGATTATAAAATCGCCTTATGGTAAAAAAACAAGAGCAATAACTTTAGCTTCCAGGCAAAATTATTGTATTAATCCTTCAGTCAATAAATTAAAAATTGGAACATTAATTAATGAAAGGTACAACTAAATACAGAAAACTCAAAAGTTCATTGTGACATCAGTAAATCATTTAGGGACCTTTTGAAGGTGTATTCACATAGAAAGACTATTTGCAGATAGATAAACACCGGTTTTAATTTGTTTTTTAGTATAAAAGTGAATTAATTAATCGTCGATTTCAGTCTAATATTAATTGATAAAATATTAAAACATTTAAATTATCAATCAGCTCTTGTATTAAATAAATGCAAATCAGTTAAGAAGTTAATTAAAAAGTAAATTAAAAATGTAACATAAATAAACTTGTGACATAAAATTAAAAATCTTGGGGGATGTAAAATAGTTTTGAAACTTTTTAATAGGTGTTTAGATATGCAAAAGAAAGAAAAGAAATCTGCAAAAATAGTAGACGCGGATGGCAAAGCAATCAAGCGGCGCAAAACCGAGAGTTGCAGTTGTCCTTTCTATAAACAGATGGCGATAGATGATCTAAAAGATCAAGCTCTTTTAGAAATATGTGACGTTGAGGATCTAGTAGGTTTAGGAGAACAAATACAGGGTTGTCCTTATTATGCAAGTCGAAAGGCATCTGAAGATGCTGAAGTAGTTTTAGTACCATATAATACACTACTTCATAAAGCAACTAGGGAAGCTAATGGTTGGTAGATATGTGAAATATAGGGTGATGTTATGTATGCAACATTTTACTAAAATAGTAAAAAGTAAAAGTTTGCGGAAAAATTTTAATAGAAAATATTTTAGCAATAAAATTAAAAAATAACGTTATTATTATCGATGAAGCGCACAATTTACTTGAAGCGTTAGCTCAAATGTATAGTTCAGAAGTTAATTTGGAGCAGTTGGAGTTAACTTTACAGCAGTTGAAAAATTATAAACAACGTTTCAGTAGTTTTTTTTCAGCACAAAATTTGCTTTGTATTAATCAGTTGACCTTCGTGGTGAACAAATTGCTTTCATTTTTAGGTAAGTAGGTACTTAATTAATTACGATATTTCTACTGGTACCTTCGATTACGGGTCACCAAATGTCTGATAACTTTCACATTTTTGCGAAAATAAGACAAAACAGTTTAAAAAGTAGATGTACTGTGTACAAGATTTAGATATTCTAATCTACATTTGCTGGAAAAGTTCGTTTTTTAAACTTTTAATAATAATTTTTTAATGAAGTACTTAATAATAATTTTGAATATAAATGGAAGTTTGAAATTTAAATATTTTCGGTATAAACAAAATAAATTCATCAAATTTAACCGGTATTTGGAACTTTAAATAATAAAAAAATATTCTTGTAAGATAATCACATTTATGATAACATTTTTTAAGTTTTTTAGATGCATAATGCCTATTCTATTGTAAACAATATAGATATATATATATGAAACTTTTATCACACGTAATTTTAGCTAAAAATTTTGATCTAAAATGTGATGATACTAAAACGCAAATTTTCACCCTTTTGCGAGAACAAGACAGAACAGTTTAAAAAGTAGATGTACTGTGTGCAAGGTTTAGTTTTTTATTTTTAGTGATTAATAGATAAATGCATAAAGGTCCGTTATCTTGTTGCATAAAAATGCGTATTCTAATCTGCTGAAAAAGTTCGTTTTATTATTTTTAATAACAATTTTTTAATGAAGTACTTAATAATAATTTTGAATATAAATGGAAGTTTGAAATTTAAATATTTTCGGTATAAACAAAATAAATTCATCAAATTTAACCGGTATTTGGAACTTTAAATAATAAAAAAATATTCTTGTAAGATAATCACATTTATGATAACATTTTTTAAGTTTTTTAGATGCATAATGCCTATTCTATTGTAAACAATATAGATATATATATGAAACTTTTATCACACGTAATTTTAGCTAAAAAT